TATATATATATATATATATATAATAGTAGTATCATCAGTAGATAATTTGAAATATTTATGTTCTAACTTGATTACTTGATTACTTTCTTCCAAAATACACAATAGAGCAATGTCTCTTACAACACATAACAAGAATAGAAAAAATATATAGACCAATTTGGAGCTTACTCTTTTTTTAGTTTACTTCAAATTAAGCTTTACTTTTACATAATATAAATCTACTAGTTTTCTCTAAATTTTTACTCGATTTATTCGACCCCATAATATTATTTATTTATTTATTTATTTATTTAAATTAGGCTTATCAACATAATTACATGATATTCATTGATTTCTATTTAGTAATCCAAACTCACATGGCATCATGTAACAACAATTACAGATAAACACATCCTGCTTCAAATACTTAACATGCATAAACAATGATTATTGTTTATTCAAATAGCATTTTAAAGAAATTAAATTTTACTTTTGCAATTGTAGTTGAATAACGTACTAATTCGCGGTTTCGCATAGCGTTTGATGATTTCCATTAAAGCCATTTCAAACCACAGTTTGAACAGCAAAATGTTATTTATGTGGAAGCCGAAATTAAAATTAGCCAGACAACATTTGCGATTCATTTTTTAATTCATTAACAACGTCCAATATCTTCAGGTTACTGATTCCCCTCTTTGTTCGTTCATTTTCTTGTCTCGAAAAGAAAGCTGCCCTGACCTATATTCCCTTTTATTAAAACGCTGGCTTTGCGATGACAGAAAAATTGGCGGGGAAATATTTATGTAAGTACTATTGCATTATAATTGAACTTAAGCTAGTTAAATGCTATTCTTGTTTGTTCATATCATCGTTTCAAGCTAAATTCGTAAGTTGTTCTTCTAATTTTAATTATAGGACCATCTATCACGATTTACTTACGATTCGCCAAAGTACAGATGTATTTTAATTTCGCGACTATATAAAGGCTACCGTGTTAGCATAATAACCTCATCTATTTCGTTACTATGTATATTAACAGAGGTAGCTTCTATTGTTACCTAGCTCAAATTAAAAGGTATAGGTAAAGGTAAAGGTATAAAGGTAAAGGTATAAGGTATATAAAAAAATCTAGGTATACTAATATAATAAAGCGTAAACACATAGTACTTTGTGCCCTAAGATGTCAGCAATCACCGCATGTTTTTGAATAATTCTCTCTTTACACCCTACACTTACGACACGTTTTAGGTGTCGTAGGGCTTAATTATCATAGCATTTTCAAGCTATTAAACTTAAGGGGTAAATAAATTGGATAAAAAACCTAATGTGGGAAAGGGACCATAAGCTACAAGCTGCTAACATCAAGGAAGTAAAATTGCAATGGTTGTCATCGTGTGATGTCATTTTGACATTTGCAGTATATAATTTAAAATACGTAAACAATAAAACATTTTTTTTGTAAATACATGCGGATGAAGCCGCACGAGAACAGCTAGTATAATTCTGCCAACTAACGTGGATAAGAAAGTCGAGTTCAGTCTGTAGCAATTTATGTCTTTATATTTGAGGTTGTACTTTTCTGGACGTCTTGGTCATCATCAAGATCATCACTACTTTCATTTTCTATACTTCTACTTCGTGTACTAATTTCCTAAGATTAGAAAGTAATTTAATTACGGCGGTATACATATTAAGACTATAATATTTAGTTGAGTTGTTAATTCAATTGAACATTGTAAAAGATAAACAAATTAATCTAATTTTCGTGGTTGGAAATTTACATCAAGACTTCGTAATTTAATTATCAATGTCTGTCACACTTAATTATTTGGTTATAAATTTTTTTAATTACTATAAACAATGAAACCAAATTTAATTATAATATGAATTCTATTATAAACTGCTAATATGTTAAAACAAAGGAACTTCAAAAATTTTTGTTTTTGTTTTCCATTGACTTGCTGACATTCTGAAAACAAACATAAAGTATGCTTTTTTCAATTTCTGTCAGATATAAACGCCATCAATTTTACCACCTTCCCCTTCCAAAAAGGTGTGCTTCTCGTCTCTTCGCTTACTAACATCTATGTCAAAAGTACATAACAATAAACTGAATAAAACGTTTATATTAGTCTAATAAGAAAAAGCAGTAAGAAAACGTCTGAAATAAACCTAACCCTGGTGTAAAAGTTTCATTTTATTGCTACAGCGATTGTAAGAGATACATTGTCTCAGCTGATGTCAGTGGGGACAATTTTTAATGGTCAGTTTTATATTAAACTTTAAAAAACTAGACGGATGGTAAAAAAAATATTTCCCTAGTAATCTCATTAATATTATAAATTCCAATTTTTGGATATATGGGAGGATTTTAATTACTATGTGTCTTAAGAACGGTTCAATGGCATTTCGTGTAGTTGTTGAACATAATCTGGAAAATCATATTAGTTATCTAATAATTATTTTTTTAATAATTATGCGAACAGAGTCGCGGGAAAGAGTTACACATAATAAAAATTAGCTGTTGGTCGCGATTACGTCCGCGTGAAATTAAAAAAAAAATATACAGCCCACGTTACTCACAGCTAAATTAACTATCTAACGGTGAAAGAACTTTTAAAATCTGACCAGTTTTTGAGTTATTTCAATACTACTAAAAATACAAATCTTTCGTTATCACCATCATAAATGAGTTTTTCTTGTCTTAATCAAAATGTTAATGAACACATTATTTCCAACCAAATAAGAGGTACAATGTAATCGACAGGTATGCTTATTGAATTGAAAGGTGAAACGTAACAGGATATTAAATTTTCTGCGAAATACGACGAACTTTGCAAGAAGTCGTTAAGTATTTAATATAATTTTAATACAGAATAATGAAGCATTTTGATGCAGAGAGTCTGTCGCAGTCCTTAGGTTTTCCTGCCTTCTAGAGATTTAGCAAAATAAAATTACACTAAGGAGTAATGAGCAATTAAAGACTGTCGCAGTAAAATCATATGGTAGAGTGTTTATATCATGATTTTTAATGATTAAATTGGAAGGGTTATTTTATATATGGTCCTTTTTAATTCATGAGTTGATTTAAGACAAGTTTATAAATAAATTCTACTTTGAAATTCTAGAACTAGCGAAGTAAAAATGACGTAACATCCTAAAATACATTCGATACGACAGGTAACTCTTTTGAAACCCGTTAAAAATACGGTGCAAAATTTTGCGTCAGTCAAATCTATTTTCAATTC